TTGGTAGGCTGTTTGTTTTGTTATAGTTTTTTTTTAACAACACACTTAAAAGTTAATATTCTGAGAAAAGGATACTAAAGAAAATAATTTCTTCCGTACCTTACAGAGAAAAAAAATGAGGCAAAAGTTATGTGGCTTGTCCTTCTCTAATCAGTGCTGGGCTCAGTCTGGGTAATATGACAGATAACCCAGATAATTCAAACATTTAATACCAAAAAACAATGATCATACCCTCCCCACTTTACATCCTTCCTTGATTAGGGGTCATGCAGTCTGGGGGCAAGGAGATGGTTCAAATCTCTTCTGTGTTTGCCCAGGAGCATGACACAGTTTGGGGCAGTCATTGAAGCACTGTGTGGCAATAGTGAATTTATTTCCTTGAGTCACACCTCTACAGCTGATCACCACTGACCTGAAGACTTGTCACCAGGAAAAAGATAAGAACTGAACCTTGGCTGATCAGTTAATCCTTCCTTCTATCCTAAGGCAGGCTTCCATCCTGAGCCTGCCCTCATTTTCTAACCCACAAAATGAGTTCCTGAAGGCTGTGTTTTGGTATATTTTCCCAGATCTTCCAGAAATCAGATGTTTTCCTTTTTTTCTGCTATTTTTGTTCTCTGGCATTAGACTCTAACTCCATATGTTGCCTCCTTCTACTATAAACTTATTAAAGAAATCTCAGCAGAACGTCCCCTCACTCTTAATTGGATCTCTTCCACTTTGGTTGGGAAGACAGAGCCCTTTAGATGATATGTGGCTGATTAGCTGTTCTCAAAGGGGTTTGAATGAGCCATCTTTACTATCACTTTGCCCTGCATAAGCACAGACATCTCAGCAAGACCAACATTTGCTGCTCTGCATCCACCGTGGATTGCACATGTTAAAGGATTACCCTGATTTCCCTTCTTTTTTTTTTTTTTTTTTTTTTTTTAATTTTTGATAGACCTAGCAAAATGCATGTGTTGAATTAAAATTTTCCATTTGCTGCCATTTGAATCATAAACACAACCCTCCATGCAAGCGAAAATCACAGCTCTGGCCTTATGGGCTGCTCCTGAAACAGCCTTGTGAATGAGAAATCACAGCACAACATAAATCCTCTCCAATACTGAAACTCATGCAGAGATAACAAGGCAAGAATGAGTCCTGTTTGTTCTCAGTTATGCTATCACATTTGTGGCTGTTTACCCCTTGAAAAACAGGCAAAATATTTTGTATTTCAACCACATCTGCAAGCAGGCATAATTTAAGAGACAGAAATACCACAGTTACCCCCTTAGTATTTCATGGGGTTTTGAGTAATGTTACTTAAGAACCCCTGTAATTTTCTTTATCATGAAGTAGTTGGTAGTAAAATTTCAAATGAGGGTGAAAGCAAAGTTTTCCCTAATTGGAAATGTAGGGACAATTGGAGATGACATGGTTGGAACTGAAGAGGAGAAGGAAGCAGGAAGAGTTAATTTTGGACATTTAGTGCTCTAAATTTGGACATTTAGAGTCCTTTGGACATTTAGTGTTCTAAATGTCTTTTGTCAGAGTTATTTCTGTTTCATTGTTGGTTCTATTGGGAAATCCAATAAATACTGATGGGAAAGTATCACTTGGCTCAAAAGAAACTTGAATACCCAATCAGGAGAAGTCCACTGACAAAGCATGGAAAAACACTTAATTTTTTTCCTGTACAAATTAGGTGTTGTGTGCCATATGATAAGAGGAAAAGCAATGTTATCCTAATGATAAACAATAAGTTTATTAGAATAAATGAAACAATATTCCTGCCTAAAGTAGTTCTTCTTTTCCCTGACTTCACTGTCATGCTTATGGCTAAAACCATCCTCAGTTATCCTCTGTATGTTTTATTTCACAAGCTTCTCTTTGCCACAGTTAAATACAGAGAGAAAAGAAACTACCCATGTTAACTCGTTATCCCTCAGAGGGAATTAATTCAGAGGAGTATTGTTACTGATCTTCTCTTCCTTAACTCTGAATTTTTCCAAATACAGTCTGCCCCCACCAAAGAGGGATGTCAGGGAAATGCAATGGAACCCATGTGGTTCACTCAGTGTGCTGTGATAAGAAAGTAACCATCTGACATGAAAGACTCCTGCCTTCTCCCCTAGAAACTGTGCCTATGTGGTCATAAATTACTGCTAGAAAGGGTGCTAGGAGATGACTCAAGTGAATTTGGGTATTTCATGAATTCTGCAGCACCAAATAAAAGTAATTTGTGCTCTTCCAGAGCAGCTTTTGCGGAGCTTATAGCACCATATTTCCCATTTTACAGACAGACAAATGGGTTACAGGCAGTGAATGATTTACGAAAGATCAAACAATGTATAAAAAGTTAAACCAGGAACAGAATCCAGAATGTTTCACTGCCATATCTGGGCAATACAGAATATGTGTTTGGTATATGTGTATTTGAGTGGGAAGATTATCAAGACCACAGAAGAAGCCAAAAGCTCACAAACTGGGTCATACATCTAATTCTCTTCTTTGAAAGTGTGACTCTGCAGTCTTCCAGTGTTAGAGGAGCCCCAGATTGTGTGTGACACTGGATCTGAAGCTCTTTAACAGGGCACTGCATGAAACTCAGATAATTACCCACACTGCAGTGCTGAGTAAATAGCTTGTTGTTGAACTTCTTTCTACATCCTTAATTCCAGCAGAGAAAGCATTTGTCATTCGACAAGGCCAGAAGGACCATTTCTTAGCTGCAAGGACAGTTGAAGAGTTTCCTGGATGGACCATTACTCAATTAAAGGATAGATGTTCACTTGCTCCATTCTCTCTGCTTTCTCCTGCCATTTATTGTTTAATTTTTTTACCAAAGACTGATAAACTTTTATGTGTCTGAGGAGTGATAGATGGCGATGTCAAGATAAGAACAGTTTCAGAAAAGCTTGCTCACAAGGCACAGTGTCCTACTTCATGGATAATTATCGGCTCCATACCAGTAGGCTCACATATAGCAGCCTGATTTTCCCTTTTTTCTATTCTAGCAGTGACCTTAACAAAGATTTTCTGAAGGATTGTTTTATTTCTCTGCATGCATATCTCTAATTTATTGTTCAAGTAGACAAATAGAGAATAGGGCTGAACAACACATTTTTTTGGCAATTATAAGTGGAAGAAAAGGGTATCTCGGTCTACAGGGAATCATTCTCTTGTACTAAACAAACACACAAAATACTCATATTTAATAAAAATTCAGTAATGTTATACAAACTAGAAATCAGATTGATTTTCTTCAATACTTTGTATATATATTATTCTATGTTATATAATATATATTTTTATTAGACACAATAGGATAGCAACTGATACAAAGGAAAATCCCTAACAAGGGTCTTTTCTCAGAGAAAGAAAGATATCTCTATATATGCATATACAATTAAGCACACACAGGCATATATATATATATACATATATATATATATATATATACATATATATATATATATATATGTAAAACAGAACATAAAACAGCCAGGAGCAATTCAAGCAGAGTTTAGCTGAGATCTCAGCAGCTAAGCAGGACCAGCTCCCACAAATAATTGGACTGGGCACAAAACTAAAGTTTCACAGCCTTGGGCAAGGCATGATTGAAGCTTTCATTGAACTGACCACTGGAAACCTGTTGTTATGCTGATTTTCACAGCAGATGCTTGGCAGAAGCATTAAGATGGGACAAAGCCATTCCATAGTTCTATTGCTGTGTGTTACATGAAAGAGGATACCGACACACTGAAGCTGCAATTTCATTCCCATCACTTGTCCTGTGTGGTTCAGGGATGGGGCTTTTGCCTGGCAGTAGGAGCCAAGCAGGAATCCTTCCTTTCTGAGAGCCCCCACGGGTGTGGTGCTGAGAAGAGACTTGCCCACTGCCGTGTCCTGAGTCACTGCCCAGGCTGGGTTGGGAGCCTGGAGCTGATTTCACTCTAAAAGTCTGCACGAGACCTTTTGCTAATTCCACAGGGCAGCACTCCGTTCGGTTTAGGATTATTCAAAGAACTGATTTTAGTTCAAATGCCACAGAGAAGGGCAGGAGTGGCACAGAAAGAAATTACTGTTTTTCATATTTTCCATGCATGCTCATAAATTATTTTAATTAAATCCAGATAAACTCCCTAACACAAGTGTTGTGCTTCAAAACCTTTTATTTCAGAAGTGGTGACATGAATCCCTTTGATTTCCTCATCTCTTCCCCTTCCTCTGCTACCAAGCTGAAACAATTAGATTAATTCACCATGAATTTGTGATTAGTTTTGCTAATTCTGAAACTACATTGCTTTTTTTTTTTTTTTTTTTGGCAAAAAGGCTTTTGAGCTTTTCAGCTCTTCACCACATTCTGCTGCAGAGCTGTGGGATGGCAAACCACACCACAGAGGTGCACAATTTATTATGAAATGTTGGATCAGCAAGACAAGAAAAAACATAATAGACCAGCATATTGGCCTGGGTATGTGTGAATTGCCAAAGCAGTACCTGCTCATTGAAATACTGCAAATATTTAAATATTCTCCTGCAGCCTCAGCTTGGCCATGGCTGATCTGCAAGTCTTGGGGCATCATGTTAAACTTATCACAATTGTCTTCAAGGCAACAAGTTCCCATAGGTATCATAATGTCTACATGTAATAACAACGTGAAATGTTTCTCTGTGAGGAACTTATTGATCTTCTTCACAAAACATAGAATATTGTATCTTTTCATTTGGCCTCAAGTTGATGCCAAACTCTAAACAAATCTTCAGTTATACCAAAGTTATCATGGTTATCACACCAAGACATACAGCCCACAGAAAAATCATCCCTTCCTTAGGCCACCACACCCAGTGGCCTAATAAAATGTTTTCTGTGATCTCCACTCTTCTGACCTCAAAAAAAAAAATGGTGAAAAAAAAAATCATGAGCTTTTAATGAAAAGCTCCCTTTTGTCTAGAGTCCACCACTATTTCATATGTGGAAGAAATCTCTGGGACTCTTCTGTCTCCTGCAGGACCTGTGGAGCTGCTGTGGACACTGCAAGAGCAAGTTGGACTGGATGACCTTCAAATGTCCCTTCCAACCCAAATTATTCTGGGATTCTGTGGTGAGTCATCCTTATACTGGGAAGGAGCAGGGCAAGACGACAACCTGTATTTTGGGATCAAAGAGACATAATTTATGATGATAAAGAAGGAAAGGGACTGATCCACCCCTTGGAGCCCACTGGTACAGATTTCTCTTCTTAGTTATCCTGATCTGTAGCAGATTGGGGAGCAACTGGGAAAGTGGAGAGCTGGGAAGTGAGTGTTAATACTTCAGTGTGGGCAATCACAGTCTGAGTGTTCAAATTCCCCTTTTATTTAGCAATACAGAATGACCTTCAGTGGCTGAGAATTACAGTAATAGAAGAAAAACTCCTTCTGATCATGGCAAGCAGAGCAGAGCAAGTCAGTGAGTTTGGATAAGTGTATGGAATTCTGGACTAGTACTGCAAAAGACAAAGACTGCTGTTACTGGAAAGCAGACCAAAATCATGTATTCTTTTATGGTAAACTCTTTCCCAGCAGGAAATTATTTCCCACTCACTTCCCTAGGAAGAGATTTGTTTCCTATGTATGAACTTGACCCTCCTGGACCCTGCAACTCAGACAGCAAGGGGCCCTTGCCCTCTGCCTGCAGAAGTGGAGACAAAGTGTTAAAATTAGGTTAATATAGAATCAGGTTTTCTCAAGTGCCAGCCACTTCTCTCAACTCCCAAAAAGAATGCAAGCCCAGAAAAGATTGTAGGAATGCAAAAATTTCCAATTACTCTTTTCTCCAAAGAGCCTAGAGGATTTATCTGGGGCCACAATGAATTGCACAAGTGGAGCTTTTCAGCCCTGCTAATGTTGACCCTTTATTGTGTTTGAAGCTGAAGAGGTTGGCTCCATTTCACCTGGCTATGAAATAATTTAGCACTCAATCCTAGTTGCTTTCTAGTAGTGCTGATTCTGAATCTGGCAGAGCACCAAGGTTTAAGGAAGGAATAAGGAAACAAATGGTAAGCTGAAGGGACTCTAGACATGAAAAGCTATTTTCTGTACAATATCATATTGTTATGACTGTCAATATTTGTGGCCATCACAGTGCCTGGAAATCCTAGTCCTGGACTATGATCACAGTACACTAAATACCAGTTTCTACAATAAAAAAAGTAAAAGATTACTAACTTCTCTATTTTATTCCTTAGGGAGCATCTTCTTTCTGTTCATAAAGTCAACTAATAATGACAAACCACCAGCATCTTTATTTAGGATGGATGGACTGCTGAACTTTGTTTCCACTGTCAGGAACTCTGGGAAATCTATTTTCATGGCAATGCAATGACACCCCAAGTCATAGTTAGTTTCTCTGTGCTCATGCTACCTTGGAGATTTCAGCTTTACAGATCCAGAAACCGAAATATAGAAAGGAATTACTTGTCCAAGGTTACAGGGCAGGTTGTGGCAGAAACAAGAATAGAAACTGTGGCTGGCAAGGCACACCACCTTTTCTAATTAACAGACCAAAGTATCTTTTCATTCTCCAGCTTCCTCTAATGTGTCCTGGCCATTACAGAGCAAATTCAAGGTTCTTTGTTTTCTTTTCCTGAATTCAAAGGAAAAGACAGCTTTGCCTAGATGTCATTGTTAGTTAAAGGAAATACTTTGAATTTAAGGAGGAATCAAAACAGTTCCATTTAATTACTGATGTAATTTTGCTTGCCTGGTGCAGAAAAGCAGTTTTATCAAGTTGACACAGAAGAGCTTTATACACCTAATTGTTGTCCTTGGAATAAAAAACTATATCACTTAGAAATTAAACAGAAAGAAATGTTCTGAATCTTAAAATTGTGCAGAAGCTTGATATATAATGGAAAATGATGAATTGTTTCTAGATTACAATAATTGTGCTCCTGCTTTTCCATGCTAATGAATACTGAAAGAAGAGTATATCATCAAAGCGTAATCAAATCCAGCTTGTTTTGTAAATGATTAACAGACACAGAAGAAGAACTTGGGCTTTCTCAATCTCACACTAATACTTCAGTGAGACACTGAAGTGCTCTGCATTAACAAAGCTCAGAAATTATATAAATGCAAATATAAAAAACATCCCTCACTTCATTACATTAATAGAAGATCCATACATGGGCACGAAAGTAAAAGAGTGCGTCACCTGAAGTGGACTGTGGCAAATTAACACAGTAGGACGGGAAATACAAATTGCATAATGTGTTTATGCCACCTGAGTGATGTTTAACACGCCGTGGGTAGGGGATGATCGACTGAACAGCGACGTACGAAAGGCACTGCCTGATCAGAGCCCTCATTAGCTGCAAACTGAAGTGCCCTGGTGATGGAAATCAATACCACCTCAGCATCAGCATAAAGGCAGAGAAACTTCATTCTGCAAACCCTCATTTGTGGCAATTGAGGTTTCTCGTGCAGTTTGTCCCTGTTCAAGTAAAAGGGACTGACATCACAGCAAAGATTTATAGGGTGAGATCCACAACGGAGTTTTCACTCTGGTTTTACCCATAATGAAGAGTATTGAGTCTCAAGGACTGATTAAAGCAAACTGAGCAGGTTATACCACGAGGACAGCTCATTTTCCCTTATTAAATGGAAAGAACGCAATGTAAAAAGGACCATGAGATTTAAGGAACAAAACTGGTCAATCAGTTGATACAGTTCTGCCTGGGCAGGTCTAAACGAGAAGCATTAACAGGAAAAGATGAGCACATCTGCATGGAGGCATCTTACTCTACTGATGCATACAAATGGGATTTCTGAAGACTGGCAACTGTAAATTGTCAAGGACAGAAACACCCAAGTATTTCACAAAAGTGCTTCACAGCTGCCAGGAAACTCCAATGTACAACTGATCTTTATGAGCTTGAACTCTTATCAGTGAAAATCTGTAATGAAATAAATTATTTATTCTAGATCTTGGGGTAGGTGTGGAGGGGAACTGCAGTCCTCCTGTTTCACTTTAAGGACTACACCTGTTGTAGTGGTATTTACCAAGATTTCATCACAATATTTTGGAAATAATAAAATAAAAGCAAGTTCCTTTTGAGAATGAGAGTAAAAATTCCTTTTTTTTTTTTTTAAATTTTTATTTTTTAAAGTCTAGGAAAAAACAAACAAAAAACAACAAGGGGATATTCCTCCTGCCTAGTTCTCAAAGCTGGTATTTTATAAATGACTCTGCCTCTTTTGTTCCATTTAGGAGCAAAGCAAAAGCAGCATCTTTATGTTTTCCACAAGTTGAAACTCCTTTATTAGTCACCTCAGAAACATGTTCCTGGAAAACAAACTGATCTGGGTTTATAGGATGATTTTAATTTTGATCTTTCAGAATAATAAAATATTCCAAAAAAGGATAACCTTATGTCACTTTGGTTTTTTCCTTCATCTGCTGCTGAAGTTTAGAAGGAATGGGAGGGAACACTGCAAAGCAATAAAGTGAATTTTGTGCTGCCACCTCCTTCACTTTCCATCTTCAAGAACCTGCTATAGACTAGAAAAGAAGATTCATGATAGAAATTAATGTCATCCCTCACACCCTGATTGTGCTGCTTTGAAACATAAGGAGTTTATCACTATATTTTATATTAAATTCTGAACCTCTGTATTGAAAGCTACAGAACAGCCAAAATTTATTTTGACTTATCACTGACCCACAGTGAGTAAGAATTAGAATTACAGAATTAGAGGTAAAATGACTTAGCATCTGTTTGAAATGCCTTGTACTTCAGAGACCAGTGCTTGCCCTGTATCATGTTTTTACTCTGGATTAGAGGATTTATTGGTTGCATTAGTCACTATTTCTTCTTGGTCACACTGTGTTTTTTAAGTAGCAGGCCACTGAGCAGTCAGTCCTCACTGGAAAACTAGGTCATAGTATTAAAAAGCCTAATTCTTCCCTCATGATACATAATTAAAAGATGACCTACCGAGAGTAACCTCCATTTTATTTTAAATAATTTTTTTGTTAACTATCTTTGATTTCGAAGTTGGCTTGATTATAATCATTATGTTGGCTTAATATTAATGAAGTTATTTCTCCTAGTTTATTTTATTTCTCATAGGCCATTTCTGAAGGAAAAGGCAGATATGACCTTAGAAGTTCTAATATATCTGACACCTCAGTTCAAAATGACTCACTTTTCAGCTCTGTATTTTTTATTTCACTTAGAATACTCACAAGGTTGTATTTCCAGTATTTAGGGTTGATGCTATCTTTCTCCTACCTTATACTAAGAAGTTCTCGTTTGGGGGGCATCTTAAGTGTAGCAAAAGACACGAGGTATTACAAGCAGTAAGAAATCAAGAGAGTCCATGATATAGGAGACCAAAGATACCAATCTATTATTATGCTGTTTGAAAATGGAGTGGAACACTGGAATGCTTAGGGAGTGAGAATAAGAATTTGGGTACCCATGGTATGAATATTCAGTATTATGATACCTAAATTGTAGCCCATGTAGAGGAATCAATGACAGCCATCTCTCTTTTACAAAGCAAGGAAAAGAAGAACCACCAGAAAGCCTTTCTAAGATAGCAAAAAGGCAAGACAAAGCTGATGAGAAGCATGACCTGGCACAAAGAGATATTTCATAGAATTAGAGAATCACAGAATGGCCTGGGTTGGAAGGGACCTCATTCCAACTCCCCTGTCATGGGCAGGGACCCCTTTCACTAGACCAGGTTGTTCAGGGCTCCATCCAACCTGGCCTTGAACACTTCCAGGGGTGGGGCAGCCACAGTTTCTCTGGGAAACCTGTGCCAGGACCTCACCACCCTTACAGCAATGACTTTTTCCCTAATATCAGATCTAAACCTAGTCCTTCTCAGTGTGAAGCCATTTCCCATTGTTCTGTCACTGCATGTTTTATTTGAGGCAGAACCTGATCTGCCATTTCCACTCACTGAGGATTCAAAACCCAGTCACCTTTTCTGAGTGATGCCTACAATGCTTTTGTCAAAATCCAAGCAGAGACATGGAAGTCTCTCTCATTTCCAAGGAGTCACAGAATGGATGAGGTTAGAAGGGACATCTGGAAGTCATCTTGTCTCAGTGTCAGAGAAGACCTTCAGTGTCCAGAGGTGGCTCTGGGGTCATGAAGACAACATGAGAGAGCAGCATCCCATTTTTTTCCACTGCCTGTTGGAGACTCAGAACTGCAGCTCCCACCTCTGGGAGAGAATTTCAGTCACCAGCTCAGAGGTGATTTGCACTGGAGGTGGAATAATCTTGTTTTAACAGCACAGGTACAATCCCTAGGCCAAAAAGGAGAAAATAGAGAAGGATGAAGGAGAAAATCCAACTGTATGCAAATGTGATCCAGATTCTTAAACTCCACAGTTGTAAAGCTGCCTTCGGACAGGGGATTTCCACGTTGCAGTTCACAGTCCCTAAGTCCATCAGCTGTCTGTGCATTTTAGACATCCATTACCCATTCTAACTATGTACAAAACCTTTTAAACCCCTGTATCCTCATCCTACATTAGCCACTGAGCTGTGGAGACACATTACAGAATACTCTTTTTTCTCCTCTCCTTGCCAAGCCTATAGAAAAGAGAAAATACTCAACAGAGTGCAAATGTTAAAGCTATTGCCCCTTTTACTCTGAGTGGGAATAAAGCACTTAACTTGTGATATCTGAAGACATAGTGAAGTTCCTATTTATATGTTGCTTAAATATATATATTTATGCCTTAAGATGCCTGACTTCCTTTGAGGATATAATTTTCCTGCTTTTTTGCAAGATAGAAGTCTGTAAGAATGTCAAAAGATCAGGTGAAAAATCACATGCCTTACTAAAGTAAGTATTATACTACATTATATTACACTATTCTAGTTCATCATGAACCGCCAAAAAAGTGACAGTTTCAGATTGTAGAAACAATATCTTTGTTCTCTGATTTTTAAAACTGAAGAACAGCTTGATACATAACTGGAAGATGGAAGAAAAAGATTTAATGCAAATTCTGTGTTAGTTTTGCATGAGCTGGAAATGCTCTAGCCAAAAAAAAAAAAAAAGGTCTGATATTGTAACATGATAAGAAGTTTCTCATTTTGAATACTTCTGGCAACACTTCTAATCTCTGACAAGAAAATATTTGTTAGAAATCCTGGCATCCCATCAGAATATTTGTCAGTTTGAAGTTAAGAGTGTGAGTATATTTAATTAGGTGATTTTTGTGTTATACAGAACTGTGAAAATGAAAAGATACAGTCCTGCTCCTTAGACATAAATGATTTGAGGGTTCCTCCTTTCACAGACGCTTTGCAAGAGGAGCAATAGAATTTTTGCTTTTATGCTGAGGGGAATCACTCAAGAAAATTTACGCAACAGCCTCAGGAAATGCACAATTTAATGTTCATTTTTTTGATGGGAGGGGATGGATTCTTGCCCAGACAACACTGTTGCATTTGCAAAAAATGATTTGTTTTCCTTCAACTACCAAGATGCTTTAAAATAAAATAAAAAAATTAAGAGAAATGGCTGATAAAATTGGTTTCTGGTCCAGGTTATAATGAGAATATTGGATTCATTTAAATCTTATGAATTACTGATGAACTGCTTAATTAAAACCATCTTTTCACTGCCTTTGAGAAGTTGCATTCTGAGTTTTAACCCAACAGTGCCATTTCCCTATGTTCACATATTTTTGTCTCACTTTTTATTTGAATACAAAGTATTAGACTTCTGTTAAAATAAATTTTTTCAAATGATCTAAGAAAATGTTTATTTAAAGCTTAATATTCTACTTAAGTAGCTTAATCTAAAACTAAAAAACCTTACAAACATTATTAGTCAGTTAAATTAACGTTATAAAAATTTGTTACCAACACAGTTCCAACTGCTTTTCAGCAAAAAGTAGATTTTTAACTATCAGTTTCACATTAAACTTTTTTTCAGAAAAGAAGAAAAATCTGAAAGATCAAGATTTTAGTTGCTTAATTTAGACATGTCACAATATATAAAGATTAAATGATTTGACAGCAACTGTGCAAGGAAAGTGATTGTGACTTTAAGTAAAAAAAAAAAAAATTTGTCTTAGATTTTCCTTTAATAGATATAATTTAAAATGTCAAATTCAAAGGAGTATGTATGCATAATGCAAGTTCATTAAAACAAGAACATGCTCAAGTTTGGTCCAAATGTTGGTAAAATTTGTTCTCAAATTTTAGATTAGATTATATTTAGTCAAGGATTTCTGTAAATTCCTTTATTAATCTCATAATGGAATGGGTTGACTTCACAATTCAGAATATAAGCACAAAATGCAGGGAAGGTCATTTTTTTCTTTAGTGACTTGCTTGTATCTGTGGTGTTTTCATCTATTTCTGCACTGAGATTTCCCAGGAGATGTTCTGGACTCAGCTGAGATCTGCAGGTCACGACCACACTCTCCAATGTGTTCTCAAACCCAGAAAGCTTTTTTTTTGGTGCAATCCTGACTACAGGAAGACTTATCCACGTTCAACTCCTGGGCTAGACCTCCTTCCATCCAGCATGGATTAGGTGGATGTACACTGGGCAGAGTCTAGGAGGGGGTCAGGGTGCTGGGCTTTGTGTGAGAGAGGAGATCCATCCCTTCCATGACCATACAAATCTTCATTTATGACCCACCTGGAGCATCAAACCAATAACACGACGACAAAGATTTATGAAGACAAAGGTAAGAGATATGTGGGGAGGGGGCAGAAAAAAAGTAAAATAACTAAGAATGAGTAATCTAATTATCCTCAGATCAAATCCAAAAGATCTCTCTTTCCCTCTTTGGGTCTGTCTGATGTGCTGTTGACATTTGCTTTACTCCCCTGGTCAGTGGCATGTTCCCTTGCCCATTCCCTGTGCTCAGGTTGCTGTATCAGGAAACAGGCTTTTCTTGGCAAAGTGTTCTGGTTTTTATGTTCAAGCCTTTTCTTAAATCTCCCCCGGGTTCCATTTAGATTAAAATCCTCCTTTCTCCCACCAAACACTATTGATCCTTAATTTATTTAGGAGGCAGTTTCAGCACTCCTTCTTCCAGGTATTGACTGCCCTCACTGCCTTGGAAATGATAATGACCCTTCAGAAAAATAGGTGCTATCTCTTGCACTTGAGTAGGCATTAGAAAAATACTAACAGCTCCCCCCCACTTGGGCAGACAATGAGTAAACCTCTTTGGGAAGTTTTTTCTACACACTGAACCTTGTATTTCATATTAATGTGCAAACTCCTAAAGATACATCAACAGAATTGATGCTTGTAGCTCATTAGCGGGTGTTGGTTGAGACAGAAGTGAAAGCAAAATGATGAAAGGAGGTCTTAACAAAGTTGACTAAACAGTTTTCTT